GAGTCAGGTCTGGGTTCCGGGAGCGCCCAGGGAGCCTGCGCCGCTCGGGGGAGGGAGGCCGGAGCGCTGGGCGAGGGGGGAGCCGCTCCGGTCGGCTCGGAGAGGCCTCACACTCGGTCTCTTAGTCGGGAGTGGTGGGCGGCGGGGCCGGGGCAGAGCTGCACGTGGCCGCTTGGGCGTGGGGAGGGGGAGTCCGGTCGGCCCGCCCGTGAGCCAGCGAGTTTGGGGTAAAGAACGTCCTGTGAGTCTGGAGACTGCGGAGAACGGACTGGAATGAAATCCTTTCTTGATTAAATTGTTCTTTTTCTTTTTTTTTTTAAATCTGAGTTTGAGTCCCCGCTAAACTCCCGTCGGCGGGGCCGAGCGGGGCCGCGGCCCGCGCACCACGTGGTTCCCCACGTGTGAGGCGCTGCCGGAGACGAGAGGGTTGAGGTGTCGCAACTGTTTGCTCCGACCACAGGCACGGATGGTGGCCTGCTCTAAATCCAAATGTGACCTATAAATGGATAGGAAAAACAGCCTGTGCCATCTGCAGATCGCGGGCTGTGGGGCGGCCTTTTATTTGAGTTCCTGTCGGGCGTAGTTCTCAAGTAACCGCTGTTAGTCATTTAGGAGCCAGGCATTGCCACAACGGTTTATTAAACCTAATAATGAGTTCTGATTTCCTGTGTGCACTCAATGTAATCCCATTGCCACGCAGCATTGGGGTTGCCTAGTCCGTCTTTCCTTCTTCGGTGCAGACTTGCCTAGAGAAGCAATCCTGCATCCGTCCTCAAAGTGAAGAGGTTAAATAAGTTCACTAGGGCTGTGCAGCACTTCTGAGAGTTACAGGTTTAACCTGCCATTTAAACTAACTTTGTTAATGTCTGGGCTGAACGTTGTGTTCAAAGCCTCACATGTTGCTCGTGGTGTTTAAGTTAAAAATTTCCTACAGTTAGACATAAAAATTAAAGGGAAAAATGGTAAAATGTGCATATTTGTTCAATAGGGCTTATCCCTTTCTACGTTAACTAGTATGGATAGGCAGAAAGTGCTACTAAGTCACTCCTTGATGAACTTTTGTTCTCTTTCTTGTTTGTGTCAACAGAGATATCCAAGAATTACTTGTCTGAGTGGAGTCATGATGTCCTTTTGTCCTGGTTTCTGGCTCCTCTTGAGCCTTAGTTAATGTTCAGCAGTCCTGGGTCAGCTTGGCTGTGAAATATATTGAGGGGTCCCAAATGGAGCATAGGGATTGGCTTTGCACATTAGGCAGGTTTCCAATAATTTTCAGACTGGTTTCTTTCAGAGTTGGGGTGTTGTTACCTGCTGGTCAGAATACTTAATTTTGTATCTTGTGCTAGTGAGAACAAAAGAGGGAGACGGGAGCATCGCTAACTCTGTGGCAGCAGACTTTCAGGTTACAGTGTGGAAATTAGCTCCTAAATAAAAAGTGGCTTTGGTGACAGTCATCTGTCCTGCGTTCAAGAATTCTTAAAACGTGTTGCTTGGGAAATAAAAACTACTCACAGATGGTATTTCTTATAAAATTAGTAATGCTTTGACTTCTCTTTTGAAACTAAAAGCTAAATTATGATTAGCAGGCCTTTCTGCCTCTTCAGTGCTCCAGAGGACAGCAGAGCTGTGCTTCCTGTCACGTTGGGGTTTCATCATGCTCAGCTCTGACTTGTCCAATTCAGGTGTGGTGCTGTGGGTTGGTCACAGCAACCTGGGAAGGTCCTGCTGATTTCCCAATGTGTGCCTCTGATCGAGCTGCCTTGCTGAAGGGCTTTGCATGTGCTGGTTTGAGCAGTGGCTTTTATCTGCTCTGTCCTTTGATTGAAAGAGTGAAGTCCTGCTGATACCAGCTTCAAGTGCTTCTTTGTAGGTCAAAAGAAGCACTGAAGTAGAGTGAAGAGAGTTGCCCTGTTCTGTTGGCCTGTTGGATCTTCAGGAGCAGCTGGTATCCAGAAGAATCCTGAGTTATCTCAGAGGTGAAGTTCAGCTTCCTTTTTACTATAAGGAGCCCAAGTTAATGGTATTTTAGTTTGTTAAAACAACTTCTTTGGAGGGCATCTAGGCTAAAAGCCATAAAATGAGGAATGTTACAGTGGAGCTTTGTGGCAGTTTTTTAAATCATCAGGTCTAGAAGGGTTACTAAACCAAATTTGAATGTTGCTGAATCTTGTGCATGAAGGCTGGAGATTAATAGTTCCTCTCCTGTTTTAAGAGTCTTGAATATATTTTAACTGTAAAGCCACAGAAAGACAGTCTTCCCCTTCAGAGTATAAGACCAGAAAGTTCCTGTGTCAGAGGTGTCTCTTACAACTAGGAGAATCACAAGGAATCTCCTGCTTTGAAGTTTGGTGCTCAAGTTGCACTCAGAAACTTCAGCTGTGACCTAGGAAAGGGCTGTGGTGGCACAGGGATCTTCATCATCAGTCCCTGCTGTTCAGCAGTAAGGCCATAACACAGAACAAGATCTAAAATACATTCTTAATAATGATTCAGCTTCCAGCTGCACTTACAGAGGTCTTTAGGATGAGTTCAGGTAAACTTCCCCTTTTCTAGAAAGGTAAGGTTTGAGGTGAGAAAGCACGACTAGACTTGAGTTTCTGGATGAGTTTTGAGAGCTAATCCAGGAGGCAGTGCATTGCTGTATCTTGCAGAATTTGACCTGTCTCAGAAATGCTGGATGAGGCCGTAGTTGTAATTTGTTTCCCATTACTACTTTTCCTGCCCTGGTGAGGTAGAAATCTGGTGCTGGAATGTAAGAAGGGAGGGGATGATGACACATGGACAGACAGGACAGGCTGCTTTGTGTAACACATCTGAGCTGTGGAAAACAGTGATAGCTGTGACTGAAAACTTTCCAAGAAGACTTAGGTAGCTTTCTTGCAGAAGGCTTACTTAAGGTGGCCTTGATAGATAAGAGGTACTGCTGGAAACTTGCCTGTGATGACAAAATGGAGGGGTATTGACTAACAGAGAAGTGTTTGAACTTGGGTGGTTTTTACTGTGCTCATTTTTTTCTCTTGGAAGTAACTGAGAACTGTAATGGTGTCCAGAGTGCTTGGAGGCTCTCCATTTAAGGACTTGTCTTCTGAACTGGCCTTTTCTGGATGTTGCTTCTTGAAGGTGGCTGTTGACTTTCCCTGAAAACTGAATCCTTACAGTTCACACTGCTGGGGAATTCTGTGCTTTGGTAGGATGCAGATAAGTAAAACCAGTGTCAGCTGCAGCCACCTCTGCAAACAGGTGAACCTGTTTGCAGTTCCACATCCTTTACAGGAATGACACAGAAGTTTAACATGGAAATAAATAGTGGTGATGAGAAACTTCAGGTAAACAGTTTGAATGTGTTTAAGGTACCTGAAGATGGAGCAGCATGCTTTGTAATCTTATTTGTATGGCAGCTGTAACCTTCCACTGCTCTTGAGCTCAGGGGGAAAAGGGGCCTCTGAAGATAGAGGTTTTAAAATTCAGTTTGTGTAATCTTTACCATTTTGCTGTATAGCAGAGGAAGAGAAACTTGAAGTTTTCCTTTTGAGGGGACAGTTAAAAAGGAAAAAAACCCTCTGAATCTGATTTAAAACTTCTCTTTTGACATTCCTTTGGAGCAGTGAGGAGTGATCTTGTTCCCTCGTGCAGCCCCTGACCTGGACTGGCAGAAGGACAGACTAGCTGTAGGTTCCCATTAATCTTGGTCTAAAAGCACTCCCTCTGTGTATCTTAAGTGGGTCTGGCTCACCTGTCACACATTTGTCTTTTACCATGTGTTAACCTGGCTGGTTGTCTTGGTGCTTCCTGTGGGGCACTGTCAGCAGGCCTCAGTCCTGTCACCTCGTGCAGTCTCTGCTTCATGGTTGAGAGTGAAGTCTGCAGTTCTCTTAGAGCTGGTGCCTACTAATTGCTCTTGTTAATAGATTTCATGTTGCCATTTGATAATGCTTTATTGTGAGGGCTTTTTAAAAGAGTTGTAATGAAGTGAAGTGTATATATATAAAATTCAGAGACCGTCATCTTGGCCCTCTTGTAGTTGAAAAGCAGCATCCACTCTGGTGCCTGAGCCCAGCTCCTGCCGTTGGCTGTGCCTGTGTTTTTCCTGTTCTGCAGTGTCAACACGGTTGCTATGAAAACAGGCATAAACAATGGCACAGTGAGTGCCAGCTGCTGCCAGCAGAGCAGGCAGTGCTCAGCCCTGGGTGTCCTCAGAAGACGCTGGAAATCTTGAACACTGAAATGGAGCAGAGAAGACTTTGAGTTGTATGAATCAAGTGGATCTCTTTTAAGTGCTCCTGCAGCCAGTTGTTTTAACTTAGTTTAGATGTAAGGTTTTCTTGCAGCTTTTCACTCCAGAACTTCATTTTGAGGGCAAAATCCATCATCTGGTCCAGCTGGAAGTTAGATGTGGGATTACAGGTGCTAGAGTATGTACCTCTTTTATTTTAAATTCTCAGCCATCTACTGTGGTTGGAATAACTACTTCTGTGCAGAAGACCATCAGAGAGAACTGTTCTGAGGGACAAGTAGATAAAAAGACACAGTAAATCTGTGAAATACTGAGGTACTTTGGAAGTAGCTAAATAACAATTCACATTTAGACGCACACTCTGTATTTAAGAGCTAAATGTCAGGATGCTAATTCTGGTTCCTTCTGGAGGTCATGTGTTGTTCTACTGCTCCTCTAGTGGCTTTCTTCTAGACTCAATTTACGGGATGTTCCTGTGATCAGGGATGCTGGAGGTCTGGGAGGAGGGGAGTCATTCTGTAACATGGATAAACTGCAGAGTTGCAGAGAGATTACCTTGAAGGGGGATCAGGTAAACTGCCAAACATGCCAGATAATGATTCTACTTCTGCTAGGTAAAGAATAATTAATTGGGAGAGAGTATGTGAGAGCATATAAACTTCAGGAGACTTAATCAAAACAAAGCTTGACATGCATATTTTTAGACCAGTGTACTTTAAGCTTGTCTTCAAGCACACTTTAAAAAACACTCCACTTGAAATGTGTAACTTCCTTGTTCTTTTCTTTCTGGCTCTGGAAGTGTTGTGAGTGTCCTACAGCTCAGGGGAGGTGTGGCAGTGTGAGCACAGTGTGGAATCTGCCCTGTCCACTGTGGGCTGTGTAGGCTGGCTCGTGCACTGCTGACCTCGGTTCCCAGTTTGGGCTGTCAGAACTGCCTGTGATGCTTCCAGAGCGTTCTAAGGATGTTTTTCCTAGTTAGCCTTCTATGTAGTTGGCAAGTGTCTGCTGTCTTAACATCTTAAAATATTTTCTTTCATGGATACCTGGAGTGGAATATGCATCCTGAGCTATAGGTTAATTACAAGTTGTAGTTTTGCTTTTCACGATTTAACTGCTGTTTAGGTCATAAAAGACCTAAAATCTTCAAATGTTAAGCTAAAAGGTTTTTGAATGCTTCAGGTTTAATACTGCCTATTCTTACACTTTGCTTCCAGTCAATTGAGGTGGTAGCTGCTGGGCAGGTCCTTGAAGAGAAACTGTAACAACTACCAGGAGGAAATAACTTGCAGGGATTAAGTTACTGGCTTTCGAGTTTAACTCTGAGCAAGGAAAGTGCTTTACTGAAAGGGATAACTACTTTAAGGCTGCTACTACAATAGTTAAAGAGATTTCCTTCTCTTTTTCTCTGTTCCTGAACATGTTGTAAGTTCTTGAAGTAAAGGGTGGCTAAAAAATAACTAGAGGAAAAGTTAGCACACTGTCTGTTCAGAGCTGTCTTACTCAAAGCAGAATAGAGGCAAACTTTTACCCTCTGCAGTGGTTTCAGTGGTTGTGATCAGATACTGTACAAGAAAGTACTGACTTAGCTGGAAGTCCTGTATGGTTTGCATTGCCTTTGCTGAGGGGCGGAGAAACCTCTAAATCTCATTTTAATGTATCCTTTGGCCAGGGGAGCAGAAGGTGCTCAGAAATGTGTTTCTTGTTCAGACAGGTGATCGATCTGCAGCCATGAGCAGCAACGAGTGCTTCAAGTGCGGCCGCACTGGCCACTGGGCCCGGGAGTGCCCCACTGGGATGGGCCGTGGCCGTGGGATGAGGAGCCGTGGCAGAGGTGAGTGGTGGCTGTGCTTTGCTGTGTGTTTGGACAGCAGATCTCCAGCTGGCTCCTGTGTGTAGTGGGTAAAAGCTGAGTGAAGAACTTGAGACTCAAATTGGTACTAAGAGCCAGGGAAATTTGCCTCTACCCAAGACTTTGGCCAGGGGCTCTGGGAGTGAAGCAAACTTGTCATTTCAGTTTGTGATTGATTCTTAAAAGTATTCTGAAATTATTACTTATGGCTGTTCTTTTTTATTGTACCCATTTCAAGCAGGCTTCCAGTTCATGTCTTCGTCTCTGCCAGATATCTGTTACCGCTGTGGTGAGTCTGGCCATCTTGCCAAGGACTGTGACCTGCAGGAGGATGGTAAGTATCACTAAATATTCCATCTCTTCAGTGCCACAGGCAGAGCTCTGTGGCTGAAGAGAAGGGTGCTGGGATTCCCTGGGAGCAAGCTGTGCATGTGCCCTGTTCACAGCATGCTGCCCCTCACGCTACCAAGGTTTTATAGTCTTGTTTGGTATGTTTTTCTTATTGTGGAAGCCTGCTATAACTGCGGTAGAGGTGGCCACATTGCGAAGGACTGCAAGGAGCCCAAGAGGGAGAGGGAGCAGTGCTGCTACAACTGTGGCAAGCCCGGCCACCTGGCCCGCGACTGCGACCATGCAGACGAGCAGAAGTGCTATTCTTGTGGAGAGTTTGGGCACATTCAAAAAGACTGCACCAAAGTGAAATGCTATAGGTAAGGACTGACAGGAGGAAGCTGCAAGATACACCTCCTGTGCTGGATACATTCTGTGTCTGGTTTTGCTTAGGAAATACAGTTTATTTCAGCTGTTACCCACTGCTGTTCAAAACTGAGGCTTAAACACTTACTAGCATGATTTATCTCTAGATGGCCAGCCAGTGCAGGTGTTCTGTCATTTGAGCTGTACAGAAAGGGCGTGTCCTTTTGCAGAAGGTAGCAGGAGTAGCAGAGTTGGCTGTCCTGTGTCTTTTGCCACAGCGAACAAACCCCAGCTGTACAGCCCAGCTGACTGGCACAGCCAGCCCCTGCAGGAACACACTGAAGATGCTTTGGTTATAGGAACAGTGAACAGAAGTGGGTGTTAAATTGGTTTGAAATGCCATCTTCAGATTGTTGTCTGGTTTTTGAATGCAGGCATAAACCAGAAACAACACGTTCCTGAGAGCAGTATTCCTCACCCCCACCAACATTCCCTTCTGTGGAGGAAGGAGAGAGAACATGATGTGTTTGAGTTAAAACTAATTATTCTCAAAACAAGGCTAAACTGCAAGCATCAGCAGGCAAAATGCAGGACACAATTGGAAAAAAAGCCCTGCAAATACAAAAAAACTGATGTACAGTGATTCTGGCATAAAGAGTGATTAATGTGAGTTGATCATTTGGGAGCAGTTCATGGCTCTGCTGAAGACAGACTTGCTTCTTGCCAGAGATTTCTGGAACTGAAGCCTTGAATGCAGATCTAGCGTTGCATGAAATTGAAGTAGACAATGTCCTGGACAGAGTAGGGTTGCTCCTGTGAGTGTTGTGGCTGTTCTGACACAACCTTTGCTTTTGCAGGTGTGGTGAAACTGGCCATGTAGCCATCAACTGCAGCAAGACCAGCGAAGTCAACTGCTACCGCTGCGGCGAGTCAGGGCACCTTGCACGGGAATGCACAATTGAAGCTACAGCCTAATTATTTTCCTTTGTCGCCCCTCCTTTTTCTGATTGATGGTTGTATTATTTTTCTCTGAATCCTCTTCACTGGCCAAAGGTTGGCAGATAGAGGCTACTCCCAGGCCAGTGAGCTTTACTTGCCGTGTAAAAGGAGGAAAGGGGTGGAAAAATCAACTTTCTGCATTTAACTACAAAAATGTTTATGTTTAGTTTGGTAGAGGTGTTATGTATAATGCTTTGTTAAAGAACCCCCTTTCCGTGCCACTGGTGAATAGGGATTGATGAGTGGGAAGAGTTGAGTCAGACCAGCAAAAACCCTCTCTGGGTTACAGGGAAGTGATCCTATGCAGGAGGAAAGAAATTCTGGAAGTGTCTAAACTTCCTCATAACTTTTATTTTATTACAATGGCCTTGGATTGTCTGACCTCAGTAGCTGTTAACACCAAGTGATATCTGCATCAGGCCCTACCTAGAGCATATAGCTGAGTGGGAGTAAACAGACAAAAGATGCACATGCCTGTTAATGGCCATGAGAGAGAGAGAGAAATCTGAAATAAATCTAAAAGTAACAGTAATTCAGTCAGTGAATGTTAATGTTGGAGATACAGAACGCAATGGGAAGCTTTTGAATAAATATCTCAAAGTCAATCTGAAACCCAGACATCAGTGCTCATAGCATAAACAATTTGGAGCTATTCAGGAGTTGCAAATAAATGCATTTTCACAGAAATCAAGATGTTATTTTTGTATACTATATCACTTAGACAACTGAGTTTCATTTGCTTGTAATCGGTTTTTAAAGTAAGATGGTAAGAGCAATTGAAGTCCTAGAACATAGAAAATGTAATTTTAAACTATCAATAAAGCTGGAGGAGGAAGGGGAGTTTGGCTAAAGTTCCTTTTGTTTATTTTTGGTTTTCCTGTACACAGTGCAAAACAACATATTAAAAGGGGTATGTGGAGGTTCAGCTTGGCCTTTTCTTTTGTACTCTCTGATGTTAAGGTCCTGTCTGCAGATGTTCATGGGAGTGGGGTCTGGATGGGGGGCTGATCACATCTGTGCTGGTGCAGTTCAAGCAATTAATGGAAAAACCATTAAAGGAAGAGGTTGCTGGAGGTGCAGGGAGTTCCAAACTCTGAGTGGGTCAGTTCTGTCCACCGGTGTTTGAGCTTTCACAGTGGCACTGGGAACTTACAGCATTTCTCCCTTGGTGGCTGTGCCGTGTTGGTTCACTGAGGGTCAAACAGCAGATCTTCAGTGAATAAAGTCTTGGTGTGCAGGAGCTCAGTGCTTCACCCTAAGGCAGGACTGCAGAAGGGGTGTCCTAATGTCTGGTGTGGAATTGGGCTTCGCCTGGAGTGCCTCTGAGCTGCTGGCTGTGCTCAAGCCCTGGCAGATCCTGTGCAATCTGCAGTTAGGGGCAGGCACGGCGTGCTGGACTCAGCTTGTGTTTGAATTGTCACTCTAAAGGTTTTCCTTCCCCACCCCCAAAGCTGTGTGTGCTGCAGCAGCGAGGAGCAGGCTGATGTGTGTCCCTGCAGGGAGAAGGAGCAGGCAGCAGTCTGCAGCCGTGCTGGGGACAGCTGAACTGGCACTTGTGCATCTGTTGGCATCACCAGGTACTGTCAGGGTAACATTCCTGTCAGTTCTGGAAGCACGGGTGGAACCTGTGGGTTTTCCTGGCATAGTGCACATCCACAGCACGTGGTGCTTCAGCCTGGCAGGCTGGGACAAATTAAGTCTGCACACAATTATCTTAGTTAAACGGCAGTAAAGCTTGCACCTCTGATTACAAAGACCTGGAAGTCTTCTGGACTTAAGTATTTGACAGCTACAAAGTGAGGTTTTCCTCTAAAAATCTGTATTTTTATACAAAGAAAAGATTAAAAAGCTGAGGAACACAAACCTGGTTTAAGGCTCCAGAAGGAGAAAATTTAAAAGGAGATGTCTCCTTGGTCATCATTCTGTGAGAACATTGGTGCTGCTGTTCATAGTCAGTTTTTCCCAAGTGAACAGGACAAGCAAGTATTTCAAACATTGTGGAACACAGAAAAAACCAATCTTTTGTACATTTCATGTTGATCTTTTTCACTAATATGGAGGCATCTCCTCATTCCATCTGGCAGACTCATTAAATGGTTACAGAGAAGGACTGTTCATCGGGAACTGAGTGACAGGACAAGGGGGAACGGGTACAAACTGAAAGGAAATTTACATCAGGCATTCGAAGGAGCTCCTTTGCTTGTGAGGGTGGGCAGGCCCTGGCACAGGTGCCCAGAGGAGCTGTGGCTGCCCGTGGATCCCTGGCAGTGCCGTAGGCCAGGATGGACGGGACCGGGAGCAGCCAGGGACAGCGGGAGGTGTCGCTGCCATGGCAGGGGTGGCACTGCAGGGTCCCCGAGCTCCCTCCCGAGCCAAACCCCTCCATGCTCCCCTTCGGCCCCAGGAGCGCATGCGCGGCGTCACTGCATCCTGCGCCGCCGGGGCGCGCAGGCGCACTGGGGGCAGAGCCGGGTTCACTTCCGGGGCTTGGAGCGGCTGCGGGAGCGGCACATTCGGAGAGGCCGGAGCTGAGGGGCTGAGGGGCACGGCGGGGCCGGCGGTGACCGAGGCCGCTGTGTTTGTGTCTTGCAGGCTCGCAACGCGGAGAAGGCCATGTGAGTGTGGTGGGGACACTGCAGCGTGGGCACCGCTCGAGTCCTGGGTCACCCCGGCTGAGGCTGCGGCCGGACCTGGTCTCACACATCTGTGGCCACTGGCACTGACTGTACCTCATCTCACACACCCGTGCCTGCTGCCTGTGCCTGGCTATCCCACAGAACTCGCTGTGCAGCCTCTTTTAAAGCACCAACAGTTTAATGATGCTTCTGGGTACTCAGTTGTACAGAGCCCAGAGGCCGTGGGAATTGGAGGGCAGCTGCACACACGCACCTGGTGCTGTGCAGCTCCTGTAGCTGTGCTGGGTGGTTCTGTGCAGGAGAGGCCCTGCAGCACTGTACCTGTCCCCCTGCAGGCTCGGGGATAAGTGCACGGAAATGTGTTGTAAAGGACCCTTTGTGGTTTTAGGCAGTTCCCATTTTGGGAATAGAGAAGCCAGGCCAGATAGGAGGAATCAGTCAGCATTGCTTGAGGAAGCATTGCTTGAGCGACTGAGGATTTCTAGTGTTGAGAAGTCATTAGCTGTAAGAGCTGGGAGTTGGTCAGTGAATGTGTTCAGACCTTTGTTTTCCACAGACTGTAATGAAGTCTATAATAAACATCCAGAGCAAAACTTGTTCCTGTTGGAATGTGGATTTGCAAAAGTGAATGTGTTTTCTTCTCTTTAGGACGGCCTTGGCAAGATTCCGGCAAGCCCAGCTTGAGGAAGGAAAAGTCAAGGTGAGCAGTAAAAGCCCTGGAGGTTTGGTAGCTCAAGTCAGGGAGGAAGGCAGGCCTTGTTCAGAGCCCAGGTGTCCTGTGCTTGACTCCAGTTAGAAGGAAAATACTTCAGCTGACTGTATTTCACTCACAGTCAGGAAAATTCTCCACTACAGTTTCTCCAAACCTTTTTTATTTTTCTGTTTCATGTTGCATATTACGCAGAGGAAAGGGGTTTAATATCTTGTAATAAAAAGTGGATGTCTTAGTAAAAAGGCAGAGCATTTTAATAAAAGGTAAAGCTGGGGAAAGGGACAAAATAACTGCACACAAAACTCTAGAAGCAAGATGATGCATTAGGTTGTGTAAGCAAGCCAATGGAATGTGAAAAAGGTTGAGAAGAAGGTACTCTGTAGAAAAAATTTCATCATTTAGTAGCAGTAATTGAGAAAAGCTTAACCTTAAGGAGGTGGTGTATGCTGAAAATGGTGAAACTGTCCTGAATGGAACGTTTGTTGTATTGGAGAGGATTATGGGGTGTTTTGAAAAAACAGGTGAGAGATTTTGGTTTGGATAAAGTGGATTTAAATAGGTTTTTATAGTCTGTGATAGTTTAATCTGTCAGGGCTGTAAATCATTATTGTTCTCCACTAACTAAAAATCTGTGGGAGCAGAAAGCCCTGGAGCTTGGTAACATAATTTGGCATTAATGGAGCATTAAAGCCTGTGTGAAATGCTGTGTGCCAGTGCTCAGCTGAATTTCATGTGTGTGGTTTTCTGTCTGACAGGAGCGAAGGCCTTTTCTTGCATCAGAGTGTAATGAGCTGCCCAAAGCTGAGAAATGGAGGAGACAGGTAATGTCAACCTGTGGATTTTCTAATTCTGTAGGAGGTAGAACTTTACACTTCCTGTTTAGACAGCCTGCTTACAACGGTTTTCCACACTTGTCCCTGACAGTTAAATCACAGAACATTTTTTAAGATAAGCTCAGTCTTCAAAGTAGCTCCTACCATGTCAGGTTGCCCCAGGGCCATGTCCAGCTGAGTCTTTAACATCTTCAGGGATTTAGATTCCAGGTTTTTGGGGCTGCTGTTCCAGTGTTTGATTATCTTCCTAATGATTTATCTCCCCTTGAATTTAATCAGAATTACGCCTTCTGTTTTATTGTTACTTGTCCTATTGCCATGCACTTCTCAGACCATCTGGCTCTGTCTTCTCTGTTCCTTCTCTTCTACTGATCTAGAAGTGAATTTCTGTGTTCTTATTTGACTAGATCATTGGGGAGATTTCCAAGAAAGTGGCACAGATCCAAAATGGTAAGATTTTTCTAACTGTGTTTTATTTTTTTGAATATCCAATCATAAGAAATTACAGTAAAAATCCCATTTCATGTGAACTATCCTGTTTCTATTGCATAAATTCTGAAATTGCTCTGGTGTTTCTGTGAGCTGCCTGATTTATTGGGTTTTTTTTCTCTCTACCAGCTGGATTGGGTGAATTCAGAATTCGGGACCTGAACGATGAAATAAACAAACTTCTGAGGGAGAAAGGACACTGGGAGTACAGAATAAAGGAGCTGGGAGGTCCTGATTATGCTGTAAGTGTGGAATGTGTTGTACTGCAAGGTGGTTCTGCTTAGAAGTGAAGTGACTGCTGAGAAAAATATGTAACATTTAGTTACCCATCAATGGCTTGGCCAGTGTTAATTTTATGCAGCCCCTAAAATGTTTCTAAATGTGTTAGAAGAAAGTTTTAAACTGTGAACTCTGTTTATCTTTCAGAGGATTGGCCCAAAAATGTTAGATCATGAAGGGAAAGAAGTTCCAGGAAACAGAGGCTACAAATACTTTGGGGCTGCAAAGGATTTGCCAGGAGTTAGAGAACTTTTTGAAAAGGAACGTAAGTAAAGAGCAGCTCTTCCCAGACATGAATCTGTGTAGTAGAATATCTTGAGTAAAATGCTGCTGTAGTTTGTGGGGGGTGCTGGTAACAGCATTTCTGAATGTCTTAGGTCAGCTCAGTGAAACACTGAGCACAGGTAATTAATTAAATGCCAGGAGCTCCTTTGGCTGTTTGCAATTAAGGAAATATAAAAAGGAATAAACTGATTTCTACCAGGAATTCCAAATGGTAAGGACTGATGTCCTATAGAAACATAACAGGCAAACTTCATTGAGAAGTTCTGAATAGTACTCAGAGTTCAGGGCTAGAAAAAATGAAGAAAAAAGGAAAGTTGGTTTGAACATAATTTTTGAAGCAAAAATGAGTTTTCATAATGAAAAACTGGATGTAAGGGGATGAAACTTTCTCATGGAATGAGTGAGAATTGCTTGGGCCTTACATTTATGGGAATTGATGAGAATAATGACAATTGATGGGAATTGATGGGAATAATGACAATTATGGGAAGTACTCCAGGATGTGAGGGAAGCCTTGGCTCTGTACTGGAACTGATTTGTGCAGACCAGAGGGTGACACCAGTGCTCCCAGCGCTGGCAGCAGCTCCATCATGCTGGGTATTTGTTGGCACAAGGCAGCTGTGGGTGCTGTGAGGTTGGGGACAAGCTGGGGCCACTCAGCAGGTGATGGAGGTGCCCTGGTGGGTGACAGTGGTGTTCTTGCAGCCCTGCCACCCCCACGGAAGACTCGGGCTGAGCTCATGAAGGACATCGATGCCGAGTACTACGGCTACAGGGATGAAGATGATGGCATTCTGGAGCCCCTGGAGCAGGAACATGAGAAGAAAGGTGTGTGAGATTACAAACCTGCACAGGGCAGCCCAGGAAGGGGTGATGGTGGACTCTGAAGTTAAGGAATCTTGTCCCCCCTGCTGCAGGCCTTGTCTTGTGCTTAGCTGTCAGACTTTGTCACATGGGTATCCATGAAATAAGGCATTTCAGGGGGGAGGTGCTTTAGGGTTGGATTTCATCTTTACTACTGTAAATGATTCAATATTTTAGCAAGTCATTCACTACCAAAGCAAAGCTCCTTCCCCCACTCCTTTTTCCTGCTTAAGGATGCAGAAAAGTAGGTTGCAGCAAGATCGGTGGAACCCAAGCAGTTCTCTCTATCTCCCTTGTGAAAACTGACCCTACCATCTGTTTCCTGTCTCACCTCATTATTTATTTATCCATAAAAATAGCTGGTTACTTTTCTGCCAGATTAGAGGGGCCTACTGGAAACTCTGTAGTCTGGGTGGGCTGTGTTAATTTAGCCATGTCATCTCTCTTGGAATTTCAACACTTTGTGAATATTTTTTCCTTTGGAACTTAGTTCTTCACAATATAATATATTTATCCATGTGTTTGCTCAGATAGTTTTCTAGCATTATTCTACTGACTTCCCTGGTGAAGACACTGGGATGGCAAGTCTTAATTCCTGAAAATCTCTTCAGAATTCAGCACTGTGTGCCATTTTCTGGGATTTGTGTGGCTCAAATCAAGAGGGCACAGACCACTTTTAAATTTCCTAAATAGTTCTCATGCTTCTGCTGAGCACTGGCTGACCCTCAGTTATCCCTTCTCTGTTGGTGAGGTGTTCACAGAATTCAAGGTCATGCCTTGTTGATTGGATGGTGGGGCAAGGAGGAAGGGAGGCTGAAGGAAATCTTCACTTATCAGTGTCCTGCAGCAGAGCCTGGAGCCCCAAACTAAGGGGGAAGGGGAGCTGGCTGCAGGCACTGGATAGTGCAGGAAGGGAAGTTGTGTGGGGAGTTCCAACAGCTCCCACTCCTTTCTGTTTGGGACCTTGCAGTTTTTACCTTGTTAAGTAAAGCTTTTCTGAAATGAAGTATTGAAAAAACTAATTAAATTTGGGTACCTTTTCTGTTAGGGAGTCACACACAAGCCATGTGAAAGTGGTTAGGTCTTGCTCTCTCAGGGAGAGAATTTTGATGCGTGATCTGTGAGAGCTTGGGGAATGCCTGCTGGTCCTCCTGCCAAGATGCATTAATCTGGCACCTCTGTAGGGTCTTCTGCACTGGCCATGTTACTGATTGAGCTTCTTAAAACTTGTTTTAGTGCTCTTACTGTCACTCTGCTGTAATAGAGATGCAGCAGCCTGGCAGCAAGGTACAGAATTGGGATTGTGTAACAAAATAAGAGAAATACCCTCTGAGATGGAGAAATAGCCTTAGGTGGGTGGTCAGTGTGAGGAGCATAGTCACGTTTAATTAATCACACAGTGATCAGCATCCCTGTAGCTGCTGACAGGCTACAGAGCTGTAAGAGCCACTTAGCCTGCTCATGTGACCCTGCTGCTCAGGTCAGAGAAACTAGGTTGGTGTTTATCTGTGACATTTAGTGTCTAAAATGTACCTAAATGAAGGCATTAGCAAGTACCACACTGTGACAGTATATCAGCATGCACTGATGCATTTTATTACATCCTACATCAAGATTCTACACGTGTGTCTTACTGGTGTAGAGGATTTAGGCTAGAAGTTTTAAGTCCATTGGAAAAGCTCTGATGATAAGACCATGCTGCTCTGACTGGCTCTCAGCCACACTTGCCATTTTCCTTTGCTCCCCAGTTATAGCAGAAGCAGTGGAAAAATGGAAGATGGAGAGAGAAGCACGACTTGCAAGAGGTGAAGAGGAGGAGGAAGAAAACATCTATGCTGTCCATGAGGAAGAGGTAGGGGATGGCTCAGGTGATGTGACTTTTCATCTGCCTTCTTGGACCTGCTGTTACTCTGCCAAGGACCTGTCTGCTGCTGTCCTGCTCCTCTCCCCACCTGACCCCCTACACAGCTTAGTAAGAATCAGGAATAGGAGAGTGCTCTTGGTCCAAGTTTAGGGGGTGCTGCACTCTGTGAAAACCCAAGGGGTGCAGGGCCTTGTTCACACTTGAATCATGATGCAGCAGTGCTTTGCTGGTGCTGCTCTCACTGCTCTTGGAAACAGAAGCAGTAATGCTGAAAATGTCAAGGAGCAGGATCTGCATGTGAACCTTGTGTTCCTTTGGTGCTCAGTCCTCTTCACTCATTCCTATGTTTGTAGTGTTGACCATGCTTTGTTCTTTCTGGCAAAGCAAGTGAAAAGGGGGTTTTTTATGACCTCTGTAGAAAATAAACTTGATGTGATTTTTTTTACTTTTTAGTCTGATGAGGAAGGTGCCAAGGAGAGAGAAGGTGAAGACGGCCAACAGAAATTTATTGCACATGTTCCAGTGCCAACTCAACAGGAGGTAAGGCATAACAGCATTCAGCTGCAGAGATGCACACTGGCTTTTGCTGGATACGTCTTAATTTACATCAGGTCATCAGTAAAAGTGCCCTAAATTTATGATTTCTGTGACTTGACTCTGCAGCTGTTTAATCCTCTTGCAAATGCTATAACCCTTTTTATCTCAGAATTTCCAAAACCTTCCTAAGTATTCCATAAATTGGGAAGTGTATGGCTGAGCATCTGAGGTTTCAGCATCTCAGCTGAGCTGAATCCACCCTGTTTTTGTCACTGCAGATTGAGGAAGCTCTTGTACGAAGAAAGAAGATGGAGCTGCTCCAGAAGTATGCCAGTGAAACCCTCCTGGCACAGAGCGAGGAGGCAAAGACACTTCTAGGATTGTAACATCACACCAGTGTCCTGGCCTGTGTGTAATCCTTCTGAAAGCAACAGGTTCCTAAGTTCTGGTAGCAATGGGTTTTAGCTCTGAAAGTTCATTTGGATGTGGAGCAAACTGCTGGAATTACAGTGTGGTGTGCAGAAGGAGAACCATCATTCTGGTTTCTCCTCTAGGATGACTTTTACTCCAGTGCTGGAAAAGGTCAAACCTTGGTGAACTTGTCTCTGCATCTGACAGCTGTCTTCAGTACTTTCAGTTTGGGAAAGGGTCTGTGCAGTGGGGCCTCTCCCAGAACCACTCCCAGTGAGCTCCTCAGTCCTGGAAAAAAACCCATGGTGTTCCTGCCATCCTGTCTGCTCTGTCCTGACTGTAAGTGTGAACATCCTCTCATGCTGGGTTTTGTTGAGCTGAGAAGTAACTTACACTATGACTCCTGCTTAGTTTACCAGAATAACCTGGAACCTGTCTAGAGGTGGCTTGAAGGCAGATCTTATGAGTGACTTTGGAGGAGATTTGTTTCTTTCTAAAACACATGCAGTGTCTAAAACCTGTTACCCTTTTTGTGGTTTGTAAGTGTGCCTGGATGAATTGCTGGATATTCCAGCAGGTACTGTAAAAAAACTTTGCAATACCTTGTTCAAATGTTTTTATTAAAACTTATTTACAACCTGGTGTCTGTTTTGTTCTAGCTCAAAGGATTGTGATGATTCCCTAACGGTAGCCAAAGATTGGGATCATAGATGATCATCATACACACATCCCTGTAGGGATTTGAAGCTCTGCATCCCCTACTGCTCTTGGCTTCTGAATCCTGGGACAAGAGGCAAGGTAGAGCCTGGTCAGAGTCTTATGGATGACTAATACTGTTGTACAGGTCTGAATGAATGGCATTTGAAACTGGACATCTGTCTAAGGAACAGAGTATTTAATAGCCAAGTTTGGGACCATTCAGCATTTCTGGATGCTCTCAGTATTTATCTATTACAATCTGTTGTGAATAATCCACTCCAGAACAATCAAAGCTCTGAATTCTAGAGACAAGCTTTGTGTTACTTGATGCAAGCAATCAAATAAAGAAAAAAAATAGAATTGAAAAAGTGGAAAGCATAGCTGCCAAATTAAAACATTTAAAAAAAAAAAACAGAAAAAATTAAAAGCTCGATTATTGGTAGCAAGCAGACAACTAACATCACAAACATACTCTTCTCTCTTGCTGTCAGCAGTGCAGCTTTTTCTGCTTTGTAAGAAAGCAGCAAACAATGTCTTTATGGCTTGTAATAATTTGCTGTAGATTTGCTAAACTATATGCTGGAGACTGATACAGTCTGAGGGTTGTCTGTAAGATAAAAGAAGACACAAGGGTAAGGGCAGATCAGGGACAGTGATGATAACAGAAATACAAAAGAAGAATAAATGGAAAGAATGAGAAAAAGCAACAGGATTGTGATTACATTAACGTTCAAAGGAATGTGACCAACATCATGATGTAAAAGGCAAGTTTGTAAGACAGGGCTAATCTCTGCCAATCAACACAGAAAAGGAATAAATGCACAAAAATGCAGTGTGTAACTGCAAGGCAAACTGGCTGCTGCCTGGCCCTGCTGTGCCACATCCTCTCTCTGTAGCTCTGACTGTGAAGCATTTTGAGCCGAGTGCTCTTGGCTGCATCTGAGGGAACAAATTGCAGAGTAATTATTTGCCACAGTGGCCTATAGCAAAATGCCTGTGTCCTGCCAGGCTCTGGAATTGCTGGTGGAGTCAGGGTGGGGAAGCTGCTGTGGCCCCAGCCAGGAAACTGATCTGTTTGTCCTGGAGAACGGAGCTCTGCCTCAACTCTGAGTGTGCAGCTGTGCTGGGATGTGTGTGTGGTGCCAGGCTTATGGCTCATACCATCCCTTGAATGTGTCAGCCCTGAACACATCCAGGTTATAAAACGATTACTTTATGTATTCTTACATGTCTGCTTCAGAGTTCTGCTCTGTGTGTGATCCTGGTTTGAGCACCAAGGGGATAAACTCGCTAATTGTTCTGTCTGCTGCATGGATTTGGGCCTGCTTTTGTCTCTTAGAAATGTATTTGTGTGTTTCATTTAATGCCAGCCACGTCAGTGGTGCAGATCGAAGGGCACCTCCCTTGTTCTGTGTCTGGAGATCACAGTGCAGTCACTGAAGGATCAGTTTCTCCTTGCAGTCCGAGGGGTGGTGAGGAATATTTGTTGGCAGCGCTAGGAAATAAGTGGATTTACCTAATCTTCATTAGCAGATGAGCAAGATAAAAAGAGACAGCTTTGCAGAGTATCCATTAACTAATGACATTTTGTGCTGCTCGTCTCACTTTCAAGTCTAGCTGCAGGGGTGCAAAGCTGAGGGACGGTGGTGGTTTGGCATGACAGGCTTTTTCCCAAAAAATGAATCACAGAATGGGTCAGGTTGGAAGGGATGGGCATCTGGTCCAACCTCCTTGCTCCAGCAGGGCCATCCCAGAGCACAGGGCACAGGATTTGTCCAGACAGCTCCTGCCTGGGGCAGCTCCAGCGAGACAACTCCACACCCTCTGTGGACAGTCTGTTCCAGCGCTCAGTCACCGCACAGGGAAGAAATCCCCCCTGGGCATCAGTTCCTGCCCGTTGCTCGTGTCCCAATGGTTGGCACCACCGAGCAGAGCCGGCTCCATCCTCTCGGCTCCGCTCCCAGGCCGGCGCTGCCCGGCTCCCTCAGCCTTTCCTCGCCAGAGACACGCTCCGGTCCCTCCATCCCTTGGCCAGGCGCAACCAGACAGGATGTTTCTTCTGCTTTTCTGTTCAATTTAGAAAGCCTTATCTCCGCGGTCGGGATGTAGCGGCGCTGTTGGCGCTGCCGCGGCGGGGCCGAGCCCGTGGCAGCGTGCTCGGAGTGTCCGGGGCGCGGGGAAGCGGCGGGCGCTGTCCCGGCCCGGGCTGACGTGTGCCCGTGACGCGGGTGACGCTGCCCTGCGCTCGCC